TATTGATGATGACCTTTTACATTTTTCTTATTTATTGGCAGTGTTTTCGGTGGACAGCTGGTAATGCGCCTTCCTTCTGGGGTCGTGTAACTTACGATTGTGATAGTTATGGACAGAAATTTCACATTCGTTTGTCACTTTTCTTTTGGTTATCTTGGGTTTCTGTAGAAGGTCCCAGCTCTTGTCTAGGACCCTTGAGGCGCAATGCACCTTTTGTGAAGTTAGCACTATCTTAATTATATAAGCAGTAGATTTTCTTGCTATGATAGACTATTTTACTTTGTTTAGCAGGTAGCACTAACATATGGCTTTTGGATATGTACTCATTTTTGTACTCATGTACTAATGTACAATGAATGATAAATGATTTCTGACATAACTTTTCCTGAATGTACTCCTCCCCTCGCCCTTTCCCTTTCAGTAGGGTCATGTAACAAGGGACATACACTTACTCGTTTCTGTCATAGTGGGATGAACTCGTAACACAAGTTTTCTGAGTGAAATCTGCAACAACAGATCATCATTTCACTTCCACCACAGAACGTCCATTTCTTTTGATCTGCATTTGTTGAGAAATTTTCAACAATGTAAATTTGTATGTGGATGAAGGGGAGTGTAGGGTTTATGTACATCTTACTCCTACCCCTTTTTTTTAAGCGTAGAGACTGTCCTTTTGCATAAAAGTACAACTAATGAAACCTAAATGCGAACATATGAAAGACGTTAAGAGGATGAACCCTTTGCGCCCCTAGCTTCACGACTGTTTAGATTTTGGTATTCCTACCTCTGCCACATTGCCTGTTTCCTGACCGAACTTCTTTTTAACCAAATGTGTCTTTGGACATTGGCTCTACCCTTGAGTATGTAACCTATTTTCAGATATATTTCCACTAATTCAGAGTCATTTGATTAGGTAAGCAGCTTTTGCTTTATCTTTGTCATTTCCTTCTAAAGCTAAAAAATAAGGGAGGATAATCAAGTTACATAGCTGCCAACTGAACAGATTATTGTTTTATGATATTTTAAAAAATGATACCGCAGTGCTTTTAAAACAGAAGAAAATCATTTTAAATATATTGTATCGATGAGAAAGTTGATTTGCCAAGTTTTTTTTCTTGAACAACGACATACCCTTTACCATTATTCGTGGGAATGAATTGAATATGTTATTATTATTAATTTTTTTTACATAAATTGATATATTTGAAAAATAATTATTGATTTTAGCAATACTTTTTATATATTACCATTTATAGCAATATTATATTAAATTTGCAATATGTATTAAAAGTGAATTATACATACAATATATTTGAATTATAATTATTTTATAAAATATATTATAATTGTTTGGTAAAAATTTGACACATTGTATCAAAAGTATATTAAAATGTCTGATAAATGAATTCTCTATCATTAAAATTTGTATTATATATGAATAAAAAATTATTCTTTGTAATATAAATTAAACTTGTATTATAAATGATTTAAAATTGATCAAGTGAAAAAAAAATATTATTGCTATAAATAGTAAATACTTATATATTATAATATATTTACGTAAGTTATTATTATTATTATAATAACTAACAACATACACAAGTCTGGATCCATATCTTGTACTAGCAGTACTATTTAATTACCATTGTGCGGTAACATCATTAAAAAGTTGCCTGATCGTATATGGTTTAAAATGTGGGATGTGAAGATGAAAGTGACAGCAGAGTATTATTGAAGTAAAAAATAAAAATTTCATTTTCATTGTTGTCCTTTTTCCTTTTTATTTCATTTTGTTGGGTTGCTATGATTTTTTGTTATAAGTGCGTCCAGAAGTTTCAAATTAAAATGGAATATAAATATTTGTACAGAAAGGAAAAGGAGAGCTCCAGAATACAAACAGCTGTAATGCACACAAGATGCTAGCTGTTGGGCTTAACTCATTCACAGTAATCACATTACACCACAAAAAAAGGAAGTAGCATTCATTATTGTTGTTGTTATGCTACAAATATAGTACTCTAATAAAGTATATATCATTTATATACTACATATTATTATTATTAATAATAAACTAGTATTAATACGAAATCAATTACTTAAACGTTAAAATTTTGATTATTTTATCTGATTGAAATATTTGTATAATTTATTAATGAAAATGATTGTTTGTACTTTTTTGTTAAAAAAATTTCTACCTACTTAACTGATAATCTCTCTGTCCCTATTTAATTGTCCACATTAGAAGTGACACGGCACCAATTATTATCATATGTTAGTTACAATTTTATGTTATTTTAAAAGATTATGCAGCTCTCCAAGTATAATAAATGTATTTTTCTAGTTCCAAAAAACATGCATTACAACTTAGTAGTACTAAAAATTTTCTAGAATTAAATAAAGACATATTAGAAAAAAAAATTATTGTCCTTCCTTGATTTGTTAAAATAGACAAATAAATAGAAATAAATATAAAAGAAAATATAAACAAGTAAATAGGGACAGAAAAAGTATTATGATATGATTAAAATGTTTACTTATTTATCTTGTCAGTCATTAAATGTATTGAATTTATTTGATATGATAATGATATATGTATTTTTTTGAATAACAAAATATTTGATACAATCGCACTAGTAAAATTTGAATTGGATAAAATTAAAGTTCAAATTTTTTAATATCGTACCATGGTTGTTGAATGCTGTTTGCTTTTGACTTGAAAAATCATGATCTTATCTTTTTTTCTCATATGCAACTTTGCAAGTTTTTGTGATGGCACAATTTCCAAAATCCTAAATAATTGTCACATATACAACATTAATGCTTTTTAACTTGATAAACTTCAACTACTGGTCCATACGCGTTTTCTTATTAAAATGGAACTCTTTTGTGGTCATATTATAGCTTTATTAGCTGTGTGCTAAAGATTAAGATAGATACCCTTTTTTTTCCTAGTATAAATAGTGGAGTCAGTTAAGATATAAATTAAAATATATATTTAAAAAAAAAAAGTAAATACACAAAATAGTCAACGAGATTCAATGCATAATATACTAGTAATATTTTATTGTTTTTAACTTATTCATAGTGGATAATTTCTGACTCAGAAGTATTAATTGACTCCTCGTGAATGATTGGGATTTATTGTTTATTTTTTTTAAAAAAAATAAACACTGTACCTTAACTTATATTGGAACTGATTTGTGAATTTTGAATCATAAATTTTACATATTGTGGTTTAACAATGAAGTTTAAAGCTTGAAGAGTCTTATCGATTAAAGATGATTAGGACAAAAGATAATGTGCATGATTCGTCAAAAAACCTTTAATTTTAAAAAAATTGTGTCGATCATGCATGTATATCACCTAAACTTATTTGTATATATTACAAATTTTAGAAGTGAAATATATTTAATGAATGAAATAGCACATTAAACAATAACTATTGAAATAGAAAAATATTAGTTAAAAGAGATTGATTTTCTTTTTAAAGTTGGACGTTTTTGAAATTTTCTCAAGTTTAAATAGTTTCTTGGTTGGTATAAAGTCAAATAATTTTATTTTTTTTAGGATACGTATTTATGTGTTATTTCTAGTACTTTTTAAAAAGGTATGTTTCACTGGAAAATTCAATTTCCAAGCATAAAAAATCTTCGAAAAATCAACATTTATGAAAGGTAATTATGAAAACAAATGGGGTCGAGTAAGAAATGAGCTTCTTATTATCTTTAACTTGAATATATATATATATATTGTGGCGGAATTAGAAATTTCTGAAAGGGTGTCCAATAATAACAACTTGTTATGTTAAAAGTTTCTAAAATAGGTTATTTAATCATTTTGTATGTCATTTTACTTGTATATATGCTAATTTTTTCCGACAAAAAGTGTCCAATTTGACAGTATTTGACTATGCCAATATATATATAAGTAGTTGAACTTTTTATCGAGGGATAACAGTATTTATCATAAACTGAATTTTTATCTCGATTTATGTGATTCAAAAGTTTTTTCTAATGTGTTAGAGTATTATGATTTATAATATTTTGTAAAATAATTTTTAAATATATAAATTTTATTTCTAAAATAATTCATGATTAAAAAAAATTAACAATCTGGCTCTTAAATTTTTTAAATAATATCAGGTAAATTGACAGAGAGAGGTAGAGTAATTAAGATAAAAAAAGTGTAATTTTAAATAATATCAGGTAAATTGACAGAGAGAGGTAGAGTAATTAAGATGAAAAAGAGTGTTTTAAAGAGATATACATGAATGGTACTTTGAATTATTTGTTAGATAGAATCTTAAGTTCTCTTTTGGCCAAGGATAATATAATTAGGAACCAACTTGTTTTAATTAATGTAGCTTTGTAGACTTTGTGTTAGCTATGTACACCTACCACAGCACTTATATACACTTTGAAAAATGTACTAATCATTCCAGACTCCATGATTAAGCTGTTAGATATTTTATCAAGTAATTAATTAAATTCCTTTTCTCGATTTAATAGTATACTGTTAGGATCGAATTCACACACACTTGATAAATGAAGAATACAAGAGTTTTCGAGAGAGATGAAAAATCTAGAGAGAGAAACCAATAGTTTGTGGTAACACTTCGTGAATAAACTTTTACAGTGGTGAGATATATATATTAATAATTCAGAGTATGAACAGTTACAGAGAATAAATACAGAATAAACAGTACAATCTAAAATTTAAACCGCGTAAACATTAATATATGTCAGTATATCAAATATTAATCAGGCTTTATAACCTAACATATACCCCATTAACCTACTACAGTATTAAGCATCACGTACGAAAAAAAAATCGCATGCATGAAACCTACTTGTATAGTATATATATATATATATTTTTTTTTTTTTTAAAAATATTCTTTTTGCCAAGTGTGTTTTTCTATTCTATTTGTCTTCATATACATGATTCTATACATTACCACTATTTCCCCCCACTATAAATACCCCATTTACTAATCAATTTTCATAAATCAATTTTTTGGAGAAAAAATCTCAAAAATATTTCAAATTCCAATGGCCATTTCTAAAGCTCTCTTTGCTTCATTACTTCTCTCCTTGCTCCTTCTCGAGCAAGTCCAATCTATTCAGACTGATCAAGTGGTGAGTTATTTTATTTATTCCTTAGCTTACACAAAAATTATATTTATCCTAGATATATTTTGAACTCGTAATAAACAGTCAAAAAGATTATAATTTGGATTAGTGTTTCATCATAAAATTATGTTTCAAACGTTTTCTTTACTACATGAAAAAAAATTAGTCGACTATCTAAGTATATATAGAAAAATTTAATCATATTCCTTAATTTTTCAAGATTAATTTATTCACTGGTGATATATGTTTGACTTTTGCAGAGCAGCAATGCTATTTCTGAAGGCGCTGATTCCTACAAGAAAATTGGTATTTTCTAATTTCTTATTACTCTCCCGCTAGAATGCCATACAACATTTTGTCACCTTTTTCAATTTATAAATATCTATTCCCCTATGTCATGTATCAATTATAAATAATACGCTTCTTATATATTAAACCTCGAACATCCTTAAGCGAAATTCGAGCATATATAACTAATTATTAATTTCTCATATATATGTTGTTTACGTACAGACTGTGGGGGAGCTTGTGCAGCAAGGTGCCGATTATCATCAAGGCCAAGATTGTGTCATAGGGCATGTGGAACTTGTTGTGCTAGATGCAACTGTGTTCCTCCTGGTACTTCTGGCAACACTGAGACTTGCCCTTGCTATGCCAGTTTGACTACTCATGGCAACAAACGTAAATGCCCTTAAATTTCTTCTAAAAATATCGTATATCGTGTGATTACCACGGATATGTTATTATTGTAGTGTATTATTTTGTCATATATTGTGTCAATAATCAAAATCCAGTAAAATATCTTTAGCGTGGGTAATTTATTTTTTGGGGTGTTGTCTTTGTAATTTTGAGGAAATTTTATTTGTGTGTTGATTAGTACATCTGGTGTAATATTTATTCTGGTTTGCATTGTATTGTATAATAAGATGAGGAATAAATGAAGTTTGAGTATATTATTTTATATGTGTTTTATTCTTGGATGTTAAGTTTTATAGTACGGAATTAAATAAAGATTATTTGTCTCATTCGCAGCTCATTATTTTTCATACTATCGCATTGCTTCTAATATACTTCTAGACACGAATGGTTTAAAAGAACTTTTATAACATCATGTTACCTGTGGTATTGAATACATCAGTAAATGAAAATTATAAAACAAATTGAACCAGAAGGAATATAGTAAACACCAAAAAAAAAAAGTTCAACAATTGGACTTGCATCGAGTACTCTTTTAACATATTCGAATGATGAGACTCTTTTTCGTTTATTTTGTCGAAAAATTTTCAAAGATCAGTGACGCACGATTCAAATAGTGAGATTCTTTGTAAGAATACCCTCAAAGGTAATCCCAGGGCCAAATGCGAGAATCAATCCCCAATCAGTGATGTCTTTTTTCTCCTCCAACATGTATTCCAGCACATACACAATTGTATTGCTACTTGCATTACCATAATCTGCCAAAGCTCTTCTACTAGCACTCAATTTATCAGGAGACAAATCTAGCTTTTTCTCTAGCCTGTTTAAAATAGCAGGACCACCTGGATGAACTGCCCAAAACAATTTGTTGTATTCTCTATCTTTGATTCCAGAAATATTTATTAACTTGTCACAGAAATCCTCAATATTATCTTCAATTATCTGAGGTAGTTCCCTTTCTAGCTTGAAGCTAATTCCCTCTTCAGTAAGCCTGCAAATTTAGAGGTGGCTAAATTAATCTATTAAAGTAATTTGTCTAAGTTTAAACAGGCTTGACTGAGGCTTGGACAATCCTCCTCCCTATAAGCTAGTTAGTTTTTGGGGCCATAAGTTAGGCCTATGACTTAATTTAACAAATTTATCAGAGCAGAGCTCGTCTCACTTGATGTTGAGATCTCCAAAATCAAAATTGTCCACGCACCAGATACTGAGCACTGGGAGTGAGATGGGGTGTTAAAGAATGACAAAAATCTCACATGATTAATGAGATGGGTGTAAAGCTTGGATAATTCTCTTCTCTATGAGCTAACTTTTGGGGCATGAGTTAAGTGTAAGACTTAATTTAACAGGTTATAACATTGGTTTCTCAGAACTAAAAATATACTCGCTATACCTGCCATCAATGATCTTTTCTGTATCAGGCAAGAAATGCTGAATAGCAGTATGCAATTCAAAAAGAGGTCTTTCGATATCTCGAATCGGGTTAGATCCGATTATCATAGCTCCAGCACCATCACCAAAAAGAGCAACACCAACTAAATCATATGGCCTATCAACACTAGGTGGTTTGAACCCAATTATAGTAGTCTCTGAAGTAGCTAACAGGACTCTGCTTCCTGGATTATTCTCAGCAATGTCCTTAGCAACACGAAGGCCCGCCACACCACCAGAACAACCAGCAAAATACAGCATAACACGTTTAGTTTCCGGGTTTAAACCAAGTCCTTTGGCTAAGTAAAGATCTCCTCCTGGTAATCTAGCTTCACTTGAAGAAACATAGACTACATGTGTAATGTCTGAAATTGGCCTTCCCCATTTCTTAATACAAGATTGTGAGGCTTCAATTGCCATTTCTGTAACTGCTGCATTGCATATGTCTAATCTTTGTTTTACTGTTGGAAGTCCTTCAACTGCTAGTTCAGGATATTTCTTTAGGATCTCCTCTGACATTACCACGTACCGCGTTTTCACTGTAGTCGTCTTGCCTGCAAAGTTAAAGGAAACGAAGAACAAGATAATTAAATCCGCTCAAGAGGCAAATTCAGGATCCAAAAAAATATTGCACTAACTAGTTATTCATGAACATAAAGTATCTATAAAATATATGAACTATGTTTAGGCAGGTAGCTGGAAGACGCAAAAAATGGGCATTAGACTTGTAAGTTAATATCAAAATTTTAATCATGAGATAAAAATTGTTTGATACGAGACATCAACACATTCTCTCAATCAAAGGGCATTGGACTTGTAACTTAATCTCAACAAGAAGCATGAATTACTCATGAGTCTGACTCTGATGTCATTGTTAAGAAAATGAACCTCAAAAGCTAGCTCACGAGAAGAGGATTACCCAAGATAATATAACGAGAAAACAATCATGCTATCAGCACCTTACAGCTGCTAAATAGATGTTTACGGTTAAAAGAGTGAAAGAAAGGAAAAGATTACAGAGTCGAGTGAGCCTCTGCTTGAGTTCTGGATCATCACAGTTGGTGTTTTTGAAATAGCCATCAACCAAAAACTCTTGCATAACAAGCTGATGAGGGAAAGCTTTGCCCAGAGCAAGAATGGTGGCGTTTCCAAAGTTGATTTCATTCCTTCCTTCCATTTTCTCTAATATCCCCATTTACTCACTACTTGATCCTTTGAAGGTGGATATAACTTTGTGTTTATAACACGTACTAAATAGTTTTATGTTACTCAATACTTGCCACTTTGAAGTTGCACAACTTTCTATTTATAACAGGTATTGAATAGTTTATGTTAGATAATTTAAGCGGTTTTAGATGTATCATCAAACTGTAGAGGGGCTCAAATATTGTTGACTATTGAGTTTTTGGGGATTAGTTGAGGAACAAGATGTTCATGATTTTGACAGTCCACAAGTTCTATCTCAATTTAGTAATGTTGAATCTTGATACGTGGTTGGTGGCATTCTGGTTAGAAGAAGTTCAAGATACAACCTTGAGCAGAATGAATCTGTTACTGCAAGAACAAATAGACACAAATAATTCCCTCACGTAATGTGCAGTCTAGGCTCTTTTATGAGTTGGAACTTTTGCCCTACTCATAGCTCACCCGCTCTTGAAACAATTACTAAGCCACTAATAATGATACAACATCATTAATTGCGATACGAAAGTCGACAATTAAAATCAATGTATTTAACTAAAAAAATTAAACAATCTCATGATCAATAGGAAAGAGCAAATGGAGGTTGTAAACTTTGAACCTCAAAGGAACTTAAACGTTGTTCAAGTGCTTTGCAGATAATTTCCCAACTAGTATATAGGAACACCGCTTTCTTCCCTGACTAAAATTTCCATAAATCTTATAACTCATTCATTAGTTTTACAACGATTACAGAATATCAGCTATGTTTAGAGAAACTAGCTGGAACAATGTGGGCCGATGAATTGTACACCTGGACGAAAGTGGACATATCGAACCAACATTAAATTTCAGAGTGACATCTTGATACACTAATTTACCATAATATAATAAAAATTAGAGTCACTGGTGACTTAGTATAATGCAGTTCGAAGGAAGTAACATTCTCACTGCCCAGAAGTCTAATAATTGCCTAGACACAAATGTCATAGGTTCTTTCCACTGAAGCATGCACGAGATGAAATAAGATTAGATCACAGCTCCACTAAGCACTTCCCACTGATGTAATCAACAACTTGGGTGGCAGTTTGATCAAGTGCAGCGGTTACTGCCACCAGATTTTCCAAAAATTCTTCCGGTGTTGGTTTATCACCATCCACAATGTCTGTCACAGCTTTCACAAAAATGGCAGGAACTTTTAACAGATCTGCCACATAAGCTACGGCTGCTCCCTAAAACCCAAAAAACAAATTGGAACAGAAAAAGGAGTGAAAATGTATATCCTAACAAGAAAGAGCAAGGCTAAATGAGCACAGTGATTAGGAAACAAAACAGAAGTACATTGAACACTTGGCACAATTGCAGTCTTGAATTAGAGGGGAAAGACGGAAGCTACATTGAAAACTTGGCACAATTTCAGTCTTGAATTAGGTTTCCAAATATCATGCCTAGCACTAGCATCAAACATGCCTGGGAGGGAACAAGTTATTTTTTATTATTGAAAAGGTCAACTTTGAGATATTAAATATCTTAGACGACAATCTTTCTCAAAAAAAAAAAAAATATATCTTAGACAACAAGAGTTTATCTAATCGACGAAGTATGTGGAGCTCAAGGACAACCAGGAAAGACATGTTGATGGCCAGAATAACACTATTTGACCAATCTCTACAGGGGACTACAGAATGACCAGCGGACTAATTTCTCCAAGTCTTCACAAAAGCAATCATACTAAACTTAGACATTTAGATGTTACCTCCATGTCTTTGATTGTTGCGTCATTTGCAATGATAGATGCTTCATCCATTGGAGACATATCTAGAGAGTCACCAGTAGACAGCTTGCCTACCTGTAATGAGGAGATAAATTACATGACAAATTAATTCAATGTCTTTTTTAATCAGGAAAGCTTTTTGCTATTAAATATACCTAATGACTTTCCAAGTACATGGGCACTATAAGCTAGGCAGGAAACAATCAGATGTTATTGTGGAAGAAAGTATATACATGAACATTAACAAGTTTGACAAAAAAGGCATGTAAGTCTTACATGGTTCTCAAGCACATCGTAACATCTAGATCATTACTACACTCTTTCGAGAGAATCCCATTTTCACATGCCAACTCACGAGCATCCAAAATCACCTAATTACAGATATTGCTAAAATATATCCTTTAGGTACATGTTAAACTTGTAGAGATCACTATGTTAAAAGTTACCACATCTATGTTACTTCTCATTCTCAAAAAGACCACATCTTAAGTTGGTAGGACCTATTAAGATTGTCTATACTTGAGTATCATTTTTCAGAAAGAAAATAGCAGATAGTGTACAGGTACTGGCACAAAGTGGACTATAGAAACACGTACTTATATAGTAGAAGATCGTATCTGATATAACATCAGCACCATCATTCACATTAAGATAATCACCCACCAATCCGAGAAAAGAAGATTTCATATAAATCAAATTGGAGAGGAATGGATGTTAGGATTTCATATAACCAACCAAAATTAGTTTGGAAAATGACACAGATGCCCAAATCCAACTTGACAAAATGATAATGAAAGGACAATCTGAATCCACAAAATGTCAATGACGAAGAAGCTAAAACCACAATCTAGAGAAGTACATTCAGCAGCCATAGACAAGAAT